GAGCTCATCCCTGGCATCGCTCAGGTTGGACACGGTGGAGCTGAAGGCATCCCTGGAGAAGAGAAGGCTCCGAGGTCTTAGAGCACCTTCCAGTACCCGCAAGGTTACAGGGAAGCTGGGGAGGGGCTTTTTTACAAGGGCGGGGAGTGACAGGTTTCAAACTGGAAGAAGTGAGATTTAGGTGAGATGGTAGGAAGAAATGCTTCTCTGTGAGGGTGGTGACACAGCAGCTCAGGCTGCCCAGAGAAATTGTGGCTGCCCCATCCCTGGGGGTGTTGAAGGGCAGGTTGGATGGGGCTTGGAGCAGCCTGATTGAGTGGGAGGTGTCCCTGCCCTTGGCAAGAGGGTTAGAACTAGATGATCTTTCAGATTCCTTCCAATCCAAACGATTCCGTGACCTTCCAGTCCCCACCCTGGACCACCAACCACCCTCCCAGGCTTCCTCCATCCCTGCTCAGCCCTTTGCCACAGCTCAGGCTCCTCTCCCTGCAGTCAGACACTCCAGAGAAGCTCCAGGTCGTGGTGACAAGAGTGAAGACAAGACAGTCGAGAAAACAGAATGTGAAGTATTTTTTTTTTTTTTATATACAGAATACAGGAAAGTTTCTGTAAAGTCTAAAACGTTACAATTACTATGTACAGTGGAACTAGCTGTTCTGCTGCAGGGGGGTGGCATATAAACAAAAGAGACAGACAGGTTACGACAAACGATCTGATACAATAGACAATTTGAGGAACGTCATACCACATGTAGCACTGTACACAGCTTTAAAACATTGAAAAATGCCATCACTGATGTATTTACACAGAATCCCAACACTTTTCCTTATCTGAAATAAAAATAGGATGGACACCAGGAAAAGAACTCGTTTCTCACTGCCCATAATACACAGTAGCTACTTGTAGTGCAACCATAGCAGGGAGGGATGGGAAAAAAAAAAATAACTGTGGGAAGAAGAGCGCTTCTTTACATTAAATAAAACAATGATATTGTATAGATTTGCTGTATGAAAACTGTATTTCTCTTTTAATATAAAACTATTGTCACTGGCACAAAATAGAACAAGTTTCTGATTATTTTACAACTGCATGGGAACTATCTGTCAGAGAGAGTCCTCGAGTCAGACAGCGGTCACCCCCTCGCTCTGACACGTCCTGCTCTCACTGCAGTTTTCCTTTTAAAATGAAATGTATAGTACAAATATATGTGCAAATGCCCCTAAAACTTGAGCAAAAAAGAAAAATTAAAAAAAGTTAAACGTTCTTCATTTCATGCAAACGGCGTGTGAACAGTCTGGTGGTGACACAGCAGCTCAGGCTGCCCAGAGAAATTGTGGCTGCCCCATCCCTGGGGGTGTTGAAGGGCAGGTTGGATGGGGCTTGGAGCAGCCTGATTGAGTGGGAGGTGTCCCTGCCCTTGGCAAGAGGGTTAGAACTAGATGATCTTTCAGATTCCTTCCAATCCAAACGATTCCGTGACCTTCCAGTCCCCACCCTGGACCACCAACCACCCTCCCAGGCTTCCTCCATCCCTGCTCAGCCCTTTGCCACAGCTCAGGCTCCTCTCCCTGCAGTCAGACACTCCAGAGAAGCTCCAGGTCGTGGTGACAAGAGTGAAGACAAGACAGTCGAGAAAACAGAAATGTGAAGTATTTTTTTTTTTTTTATATACAGAATACAGGAAAGTTTCTGTAAAGTCTAAAACGTTACAATTACTATGTACAGTGGAACTAGCTGTTCTGCTGCAGGGGGGTGGCATATAAACAAAAGAGACAGACAGGTTACGACAAACGATCTGCTACAATAGACAATTTGAGGAACGTCATACCACATGTAGCACTGTACACAGCTTTAAAACATTGAAAAATGCCATCACTGATGTATTTACACAGAATCCCAACACTTTTCCTTATCTGAAATAAAAATAGGATGGACACCAGGAAAAGAACTCGTTTCTCACTGCCCATAATACACAGTAGCTACTTGTAGTGCAACCATAGCAGGGAGGGATGGGAAAAAAAAAAATAACTGTGGGAAGAAGAGCGCTTCTTTACATTAAATAAAACAATGATATTGTATAGATTTGCTGTATGAAAACTGTATTTCTCTTTTAATATAAAACTATTGTCACTGGCACAAAATAGAACAAGTTTCTGATTATTTTACAACTGCATGGGAACTATCTGTCAGAGAGAGTCCTCGAGTCAGACAGCGGTCACCCCCTCGCTCTGACACGTCCTGCTCTCACTGCAGTTTTCCTTTTAAAATGAAATGTATAGTACAAATATATGTGCAAATGCCCCTAAAACTTGAGCAAAAAAGAAAAATTAAAAAAAGTTAAACGTTCTTCATTTCATGCAAACGGCGTGTGAACAGTCTCTGGGCCGACATAGAAAAATCCCACCTCGGGTTTGTACATTTTTGCATTGCAAGAGTCTGAGAGGGCCTTTTTGTGGTTTTTTTTAGTATTTTTTTTTCTCTCCTTACTCCAAAGCTCTCTTCCTAAAATTCCTAAGGAACGGAGTTGGACCGCAGCACGGGCACCTGGTGGGGTTTCAGAGAAAGCTTCTCCTCCAAGTCCATGTCTTGTACTAAGGCAGTGTCCCCCTTGGGCTGTTTGGTCGCAAATTCAGTAATGCTGAAAACAAACTGCAGGCAGCCCAGCTTGATGTAACTGCCGTGGTGGAGCAGGGCTGTCCCCTCCCAGCCAGCCCCACTGCCCCCAATTAAGCTGGAGCTGCTGGCTTTGCAGTTACAGGGTTTCCGATGCTGCCCTTGTGCCTGGGAGTTCATCACAGCGGCTTCTTCATGAGGCTCCTCTTCTTGTTTTCTGATTTTATGTCGTTCTGGAAAAGGAAAGAGTAATTTAAGATTTGGGTAGGTTGGGATCAGCTTGTTTTAATCAACAGGGGCTACTGCTGAGCAGTAAGATCCTCCAGCCATGAGGCTGATAAAAGGGAAATGGGAACGTGCCCACAGCACTGGGGGGGCATTTACACCTGTTTTAGCAGCTAAAGCAGGAGTGGAGAGCAGGAGCAATCTGTGTGGGGATGGGATGCCTGCAGCACAGCCCAGGTCACCTCCTCCCAGCCTGGGAGGGGAGGATGTGCTTGGGAAAACTCTCAGTCCAGCTCTAAGCCGGAGTTCATCTGGAGCTGGTGTCAGGCAGGACCTGGAGCTTGGTTACCTCCAGCACAGGAGGCAAGAGCAGGGCACCAACAGAGCACTTCCCATAGAGGAACACCTTGTGCAACCCAGGCTGAGGCCCCTGGAAAGCCTCTCCCTTTTGCAAGAGGTGCCCCAACCCCTGCAGAACAAGAGGCACCGACAAGAAATCGATTTGCACCCGGTCCTATTCCCCCCCTCCCCTCAACAGCTCCCTGGGGTGTGAGGTGGGGCTGGAGCTGCCTCAGCACTCACTTATCACACTCCGCACTTTGGCAACAATACTGCTGGGAGGAGTGGGAGTCATCTTCTCTGAGAAGTCACACGAATACAGAACGTTGTCCACGGTCGTCCCATGCTCACTGTAGTTCAACAGCTCGTAATGTTTCGTATTCTGCAAAAAATATAGGGAAGAGGGGGGAATCAAGACATCAAGTCAGAAGGACTTCTGCCCACATACCTCTTTGGAGCACTGAAGCACAACCCCTCGGTCCCTACTGCTGTTGGTGGTTAAATAAGAGCAGTTAAATACCCTCTAGCTTCAGAGGCCACCAACCTGACCCCCATGCATGGCTCATGCTCACAGAGCAGCCAGCTTTTCATAGGAAGCAGGGCCAAAGCAGCTCTGGAGAGGGTTTTGCCTACTGCACTTGGACCAACAGATCTTTTGGAAGCAGGGATTAAAGCTGATTCAATCAGGGATTCAAGCTGTTTCTGACACAGCGAGCACACCGCTTCAACAGGGACACTAGATGCAAGTACAGCCCGAGGACTGTGCCTAGTAGGGCAGAGCTGTGCTTTGGAAAGCAGACACAAGATGGCAAGGGGGGATGCCAGTGTGTTGCAGCAGCCACGAGACAGAGACTGTCTGGGATTTACAGGCCTTCTGCAGACACTGAAATGCCAGGAGACATTACAGCGTTAGACAAGCAGCGTCACGCTCAGCTGAGCTTTGCAGAGGATGTTGAGAGAGGAGGAGATACCAGGAGTCATCTGAGGGCTGAAGACCTTGTCCTCCAGGGGCTACAAAGCTTTAATCAAGTTACAGTGCACAGGGGACTAAATTTTCCAAGCAACATGAGGGACTGCAGAGACCAAGAAGACCAAGCATAAGCTGCTAATGTCCAGAAGCTGAAAGAACAGAGCAAAGGAGGAGGAACTGTCCCTCTGCAGTGACCACAGCCATAGGAGGCCTGCTGGAGTACGGAAGAAATTCAGTGCCAAGAGCCTGATTTTGGACTGACCACTGTGAGGAGACGCTTTGAGACAGATTTACGGTCTGGATCCCATTACTGAATGTGTTCCATTGCTTGTAGTGCACTGGAGGAATGGCTACAGCTGGCTGTGGGTTAATCCTGGATCCTGCTCAGTAGCTGGTTGACAAATGGTGATATAAAAGACACTATCTTGCTTCAAAGCCTGTTTCCAGGCTAAGAGACATCTCCAGCAGCACTTTTATTGGCAGACCTGCCAGTCTATTGGCTTCAAGAACAAACTAATCTCTGGGTTGTAGCTAAGGAGCAACTGCAGACCTCTGCCTGTGCTGAGGGCTTAACTGACATTTTAGTTAAATAAACCATTTCTGCAGAGTACTGCAGAACACTCTGCTTCACCATCACACCTGAAAGCAAGAGGCTGGGAGCAGCTTCCTGTTCTGTTCCAGCTGAGGTTTGGTGTCGACATTACAGGTTTAGCCTTTACTAGCTGGATCAAAAAGTATCAACCCTTTTGTCTATGACTTTTCCTTTCCCTGGACACCAGGAGTGGCAATGCTTACTTGTGGTCAGTCTTTGTCCACAGGCAGTTAGTTCAGAGCAATCATGCTGGCAGAGCCCTGTGCTTCAGAAAAGGGTTTGACAGAAAACGCTGACGCAGCCTCCACTGGAGTGAAACCATTCAGAGCCCTGGCTCCTACTTTGTAGTCCACAAAGGAGCACCACACAAAGACAACCTGCTGCCTGCATCTCCAGCTCCCACTGCCATGCATGCCAAATAATAAAAATGTAAAAAAAAGCCAACCCATCTCAAGCACTCACCTCATCGTAGAATATGCAGGCATGCTTGCCAGACACGTAGTTACAGTGACCATAGCTTGTAAGGCACACATCCATATCAGCTCCTGTCAACGGGGAGGACAAAACCCAGTTCATTTCAGCAAAAAACCCAAACTGCCAGGCAGCAGAGAACAACAGACAGAATTAAACTTCAATTAGCAAAACAACAGGGGAGCAACTGCCTTTGTCCAGGCTCCCAGGACTACATGAATAATGCTGTGATAAGCCACAGAACAACGTTTGGGTGGGGGAAGGGAAGCAGCTCCATGAAGGCTGAGGAGCAGCATTTCACAGTGACTGGGTCTATCCAGAGCACCAGAAGAACCTAAGCAGAAAGAAATGAAACCTACAAGAAAACTGTTAACTCTTCCCTCCATCAGGTATTAATCTCCAGGTCAGCCATGCTGCTGATTTTGACACCAGCCAGGTCACAAAGGTGCAACCTCACTGAGTCAAGCAGATGGGGAATTTCCACCAGATGGGGAATTTCCACCTTTACTGGTAGTGAAGAATCCCAGAACAAGTGGCCACAACGTGTCTGTTTTCTTCACCACCCTTTAGGCAAATACTTAGGGAGGGTCAGGGAGAACCAACCTGAACCTAAAAGGTCAGGACAGGCAAAAGCTACTTACCTGTCCCAATGTAGAGAGTTCGGTAGCACATGTTGACTGCACCCCCTAAGCCCATCAGAGGGTAGAACACTGCCCGGGCCTGCACCTCCTTCCTTTGCCCTGCAAGATAAGAAAGAAATTACTTGAACAACTTTATCAGCTGTGAAGGCTGCTTGACCCCAGTGTCCCCAGAAGGCACAGATCTTAAGGAGGATGAAGTCAGCTTTGGCCTAAACTCTAATTCCCAACCCTCTAGGGAACGTTTGTGCATTAAACATCTTTTTTCTGCCAGTCATCAGAGAAAACTGCTTTCTTCAGTAACACACACAACCTGTGCAACTGGGGGAACATGAATGCTGAGTGTGCACAGTGGAGCCACACAGAGGAAAACAGAAGCCTCCCACCACTAGTTTCCTTCTCAATCTTTTCCACTTTGTGCACTCAAAGAGCTGAGTCTTCTTGTCAAAGTGCCACTTAAAAAAAAAAATTAGTGCTGGTGAATTGTCAGTAACTTAGCTAAGATTTTACTTCTAGTGAAGCTGCAGGAAAAACAGGTGGGTTGAACAGAGGGCTTGTCCAAGGACCACCAGTTCCCTGGACAGGATGATTTACTTCAGGTCCCTCTGGCACACTGGACAACAGCTGCTCCAGGGCTCAGCCTCCAGAGCAGCTCCCTGGCAGCCAAGTTCAGGTCAAACATCCTCACATGCCCACACGAAGTGGACAGAAAATCATCTGTGGAACAGACATCAAACTCTGGGCCACACAGGCCCAGCCAGGATCTCAGCAGCTGAATCAGCTTTGGGGATAAGCCCCTTAAAAGCAGAGGTTTGGCCCCTCCTGATACTACATCTGTTTGACAGTTTTGCTACTTCAAGATTGTGAAATCAAAGAATGGAATGTGAGGATTACGAGAGACTGTTTGCAGAGCCACCTACGTCAAGAACATCAGCAACACCAAGAGGCATCCCAGGAGGTGCAGCACTCAACATGGCTCAGATGTGAAGGTTCCCACCTCTGCCCAGCTGTTCTGCACAAGTCCTTCCACCTGAACACCTCAACAGGGCTCAATAAAAGCTTTGGGCCTAATATTTTATCAGCAATGCTAAACAGTCAGCTGGATGCATCATTCTTGCCCCTAAAGGGTGATGGGCTAAGAGAGCATCAATCTGCCCTTTGAAAGGCAGACTGCTGAAGAATTTCCAGACCTGTCTGGAAAGGAGCATCAGAGGAACAGAGCTCATCTCACAGCCTGGTGCTGTGTCCTACAGCAGTCTTCAAAAGAAGATTGACAAAGCATTTAGAGAATGCTGTGATGCTACAGCAGCAATTTCAGCAGGTTACTGACTGCTAGCAGACTTCCAGAGATCTTATCTTGGATATTTACCCCCAGGCCAAGCAGAGGGGGAGCAGACACCTGCTCCCAAAACAAAGCTGTCCAGTTAGGGCTTGAAAGAGGATTAAAAGGACTGGCTGCACATGGAGGAACATGCAACCACATTTCCCTCTGCAGCTTTAGGTGTTAGTGTGTGGATCCCAGTGATCACAAACCAAGCCAGTGCTGAACTCTGGGATCTGGGGATTTCCAGCAGAACTGCAAGTTGTTTTCCATTATTTGCATTAGTTGCATTCTGTATTTCAGCTCAACAGTGACATTATTCTCAAGGGGCAATGACAATGTCACATATCTATTCTGTGCCTCAATTCCTCCTGTTTGTGAGCTTGCCTCACAAGCAACTTCTCCAGAAAGAGAGAGCAGGAATTAACATTATTTCTCTTGCCCATCTCAAAGGTGAGGACAAAAAAAAGAGCAGCTGAGCTCTCCCATTTCTTGCTACTTACAAGATGAATAAAACACAACTTCATTAAAGATTTCCAGCAGAAAATCAGAAGTTACTGAAGGTGATTTCATTGCCACAATTTGTAAATAAAACTAAGGGACCTGAAGGAGTTTCTGGCCAGTGGATACTGGAGCGGGGGATGAGAGTAAAGAAAGGTGAAAGGCAGCATCAGACAGACACCAGAAGGGAGATCTTCAATGAATAAGCAAGGGAGTGCCAAAAAAGCTACAGCTGAACATAAACCAACTATTCTGGGGCTGCTCTTACCTTCAATGTGGTTTCCCATAGGAGATTGCTGATGGGAACTGACACTGCTCACTAGAGACTGAGCTTTGGAAGGAAAGAGCTGATGTATTCTCTGCAAGGCCAGAAACTTGATCAGCTGCTCATCCAGCATATTTATCTCAATCTCTGTTAATAAACAAAAAGCAATTAGTGAGTTATTCATGGAAAGGGTGCAACCTGAGCTGCAGTGGATTTAACTGCCCCACTTTTCAAACTTGACACTTGCTTCAACAGCAAAAGACTTGACAAATTTTGCAGCTTTAAGAGTCTTACACAGGGGTGATCTATTACTTCCTAACACCTGAGAGCAGCCTGTGAGGAGTGATGGCCAGAGAGCTACAGCTGAGGCAGCAGGCAGAGGTTCAGGGGAACAAAGACTGCTAGGTTGAAAACCTGGTGTTCTGGCTCAGAATTGTCAGGTCTGCAGAGGTAGACATGGCAGGTTGGGTCCTTCTTGTGAATCTCTATTATCTAGTTAAAGTCTAACCCTCCATTGCAGAGGAAAGCAGTAACCACCTTTGAAGCCGCTACAGACTCATTCTTGAGTCACGCGCTTTTGTAGCAGGGTCAGTGAAACCAAACAGGGCAATTCAGACAATATTACTAACAAGCTTTAGAGCAGATCTGTTGCTGATAGCTTTGAAGTATTTATATTTGCAAAGCTCTACAGAGGGCTGCTTCCTGGCAGCAAAGGAGGCTGGCTAATCTCTTCTTCCAAGAGCTTTCTCCACATCAATGACAGTTAAAATGGCAGGCAGAAGCAGCAAAGCAGTAACAGCCTTTCCTGAACAGCAGAGGTAGAGTCTAGGCTGGCTGAGCAGTTGGGATCCACCCAAGAAAGGAGGGTCACACTGGCCCCTTTAGAAAGGCTGTTCTTCAGATGTAGAAGTCTCTAGCAACAGCCTCACTACACTAGTGATGATTGCTGTTCATCTGCCTCTTCCTCCTGAAGTCACTCCACTGAGGTGTGGCATTTCTTCTCAAGTGCAATGAAAGGAAAATAAAAAATGGGCTAGTCTAGAAGACCGACAGAAGCAGAAATAAATCAGAAAATTAACTGACCCACCAGAGCATCACCACTCAGGTGACTGCTTGACTAAAAGATCTATTGTTGCTGGATTTTACACCCATCTGGAACAGCTCTGGATTGCAGTGAGCACCACAACATGGCAGGACTGCAGGTTTCTGCATGTGAATTCTACCTGGAAACCAGCCCGTGCAATAGCTTTGTGATCATTCCCCAGAAAAGCTCTAGGCAGAAACACTTCATTGGCTTTGCTGCCTTGGCAACACTACAAGTAGGGAAGCATGTGACATATTTAAGGTAATCTATACTCAGCCCCGCCCTCACCTGACTATAACCCTTCCTTATCTCTGGAACTTTTCCTCAAGCAGAGACCAAGTGCTGTAGGGAAGCACCCAGGGCTAGCAGAGACTGATAAGGAACTGTGGAATACTCACCACCATCCATAAATGCTTTCAGGGAACTGGTGAGGTCCAACATGGCTGCAGAGTTCGACGTGAGCGATGAGGGCAGCGTCAAAGCGCTTCCTATGGATAAGGTGCTGGGACTGACCTTACCATCTACAGAGAAAGACGGTGCAGAGAAGATATGTCACTGTGACGTCCGTGAGACATGCACCCAGCCCTCTGGCTGCACTCTGCTTCCAAGCTGCCTGGAATGACTAATTTTGCTCATAGTCATGCTTTGAAAAAGGCCTGGATTAGAGGCCATGAGCTTTCTTCCACTGACAGAAGGAGCAGTGTGTGTCTCCAGCAGAGAGCCAGCTGCTAGCTTCTCCTGCTCACCTCCAGTTGTTGGAGGACTTCTGAATCCCTACATTTCAGCTCCTACTCCCTCATTGAAGCAGCAGCAATGACAGACTGTCAGTGATGTCACACTACAGGGACTGGAAAGATGAGCCCCCAAGTCCCCAAGAGCTTATTGCCAAGGAGCTTGTCTAGGTCTGAACAGGCATAAAAAAGTACAATTGCCACATTTTTATTCCTGCACAATTATCAAGTCTGGGGTGAACTTCACTGCCTAGTAAGAATGTGACAGTCATAAGCAGATCATTTTTATTTGCAAAATAAATCCTACTGCTTTGGCAGGGACCATGCAGCTGAAAGAGGCAATGGCAAATGCCAGGGAACAAAATCCCTTTAATGCACTGTTGTCACCACATCTCCTCAAGCTGGTTTGCTTAGAACTGCTAAAGGACTGAAACTTAGGGAGGGAAAAAAAATAAAAAGGGCCCTGAATAATTTGTATTTTTGTACTCAGAAAAAAAAAAATTGCACACCATAATTTAAGAGACATGTTATAAATATATAGATGCATCATGGAAAAAATTGAAATATTTACACCTTTCCCAAGGGATACTGCATCAAAATGATGTTTTAATCTGCATTTCTGTAGAACACAAGCTTGGGGCCAAAAGCAATTATTTAACATCTTAAGCATCTGAAAATTAGGTAGGGTTTGCAGTGCTCTTCAAACCACAAGCACGAAATCTGCCATAGCATAGTCTCATTTCCTCTACCAAAAAACTCTCCTGGCGTTGCATTTCTGAGCAGGGCACGGTCAAAACAGCAGCAGCAGAGTAACCAAGTTTGTTCAGCAATAAGCTGAGGCCAAGTGCTCTGGGGACTGCCTCCAAACACGAGGTAAAGCTCCGAAGTTATTCATGAAGGGATTTTAAAAAGAACAATAAAAAGATGTTGCCTGTGTGGCTTGCAATCACCAGATGGGAGCCACTCCACCCCAGCCTGCCTGCTGAGCAGCTGGGGACCGCTTTTCTTTTTGTACTCAGAAAAAAAAAATAATTGCACACCATAATTTAAGACATGTTATAAATATATAGATGCATCATGGAAAAAATTGAAATATTTACACCTTTCCCAAGGGATACTGCATCAAAATGATGTTTTAATCTGCATTTCTGTAGAACACAAGCTTGGGGCCAAAAGCAATTATTTAACATCTTAAGCATCTGAAAATTAGGTAGGGTTTGCAGTGCTCTTCAAACCACAAGCACGAAATCTGCCATAGCATAGTCTCATTTCCTCTACCAAAAAACTCTCCTGGCGTTGTATTTCTGAGCAGGGCACGGTCAAAACAGCAGCAGCAGAGTAACCAAGTTTGTTCAGCAATAAGCTGAGGCCAAGTGCTCTGGGGACTGCCTCCAAACACGAGGTAAAGCTCCGAAGTTATTCATGAAGGGATTTTAAAAAGAACAATAAAAAGATGTTGCCTGTGTGGCTTGCAATCACCAGATGGGAGCCACTCCACCCAAGCCTGCCTGCTGAGCAGCTGGGAACTGCTTCTCTGCCTCGACCCAGCCTGCCCAAAGGGCTTAATAACTGGAGTGTTGAGCTGGTGTGGAGGAAGAGAGAAGGTAAATGCTTTAAGTGAAAACTTATTCTAGCAAAATTTGAGTTACGGGCAGTTACTCTGACTTCAACACCTCAGACTCCATGTTTTCATACTGACGAATGGGTATTTAACAGCACCTTGATAGCAAGGTGTTTGGGTATGGGAAAGAGATGGCACATTCAGTCTGGAACTACCCTGTGTGAACAGACCAGCAGACACTGAGGAACAGCTTCCCAAGCCTGCACTCCTCCAATGTCAAGGCTGTGCAGCTCCAGACTTACAATTCACAACTACTGTTGCTGTCTGGAATTTAACTGATGTTCTATCCTGCCTCTCAGGACACAGCTCTCCTCTGAGGTACATGCAGCCAGCGAAAAATACATCCTGGTGCTCCCATGAAGGGACCTAAGACAAAGGAGACTTGAGAAACTTCTGGCTCTCCACAGAAATCCCAATTCCCACTTAAATGAGGGCACACTGCTCAAGCCTTGAGGTTCAGAATAACATGTAACCTGAACACTTTCCCAACCCCAGGGGCCAAGATCAGCTGCTGGGCACGTACCTGAAGGTGGTGCTGGTGAACAGAATCTGTTTGTGGACCCAACAGCAGAGATGCCATCTCCTGCAGCCTGCGGAGGGGTGAGGGCCCTGGTGGCAGTCAGAGGGGAGCCCATGGGTCGCAGCTCTGCTGTCAGCGGTGGCCCGATCTGTGTCTGCACATTCTTTCTTTGCAAAGTGCTGGTGGTCTCCAGGCTGGCACAGGAGCTCGATATGGACGTGGGCAGACTCGTGACAGGCACAGAACCCCTTTGTGCACAAGAAACGGGCCCTGCTACGTTCTCTGTTTTGACAATGGTTCCAATGGTGTGATTCAGAAGTCCACAAGTCGCTGGGGGCGTGAGGGGCCGAGGCCACGTTTGCCGATGAGACAAAACAGGGAGAGTGTTCCCAGATCCAATTAGCCTCTGGGAGTCAGTCAACTGTGCTGAGGGCTCGGATGAAACGCCGTAGAAATGAGGGCCGTTCACCTTGATGTCAGAGGCCGTCGGCCCGTTCGAAGTCCCGCAAGAAGACACCTTCTTGGATTTATCTATACAAGAGCTGCAGCTGACATCTTCCTGTGACAAAGTCTGCTGGGATTGTGAGGAGCTCAAGGAATTCTGTGTGGTAATCCCTGAGGTGCAGGATGACATGGAATAGAGGGAAGGTGTGGGTGCCTTGTCAGCTGCCTGGTAAGGGTTGGCGAGTGAGCCGTCTGCCACAATAACAGGCTTAATATCAGCCTTCTCTGTGTGCTCAGAGTCCCAAAGCGAAGTCATCTGCTTAGCAGATAAATGTTTCAATATGCTGCATTGGAGAGCAACAACACTACAGAGCCACTGGGAGGAAGAAAAAAGGGCAGGTTAGCTCCACGGGCAAGTTAGCTCCAAACCTCAACCACCTCTCCATCCTTCCCCCAGCTTGAAGAAATGCAGCTGCCTCACTGTGCTGCTGACTGCTCTGACGCAGCCAGGAGCTGCAGCATCTGCTCTGATGCTCCTCTAGAGTCAGAAGGAAACTTTGTTCAGAGGTACAAAAGTGCAACCAAAATCAGGTTCTGTTAATCTCTGTGCAACAGTACACAGAGGAGCTGAGATTAAAGTAGGGAGAAGGCAGAGAGGTGCTTCCTCACTCCCAAACTCTTCCCTCTCTTCACCTGTTACATGTTGCAACTCTTCAGCCAGTTACAAACATCTTTCACTAGTACAGGCGTAGAGCCAAACACAATCCTCCAGTTTACTCTGTAGCATGCTGGGAAGAAATGCTGATCTACCTCATGCTATAGGGAGTCACCTGCCAAAGCTTGGGTGCAGAGCACCTTTTCTTGTGCACAAGGTACAAGGCCCAAAAGATTTATTTGAAGTTTTAAGCTCCATGGTGAGCTTGCACCTGTCACCCAGAGTAACACAGACAGACTCAGCTACACCCGACTGCAAAACAACATGGCTTCGTCTTGTGGGATCCAGCAAGAGGTTTCATACAAGATTTAAACACTCATCTGACCCTGAATTAAAAGTCCAATTCCATCAGTAGTAACAAGCAGCCCAGAAATGTGACATTACACAAATAAAGGTGTCAAGAGAGCAGCCTTACATAATCAGTGGAAAATATTTCCCCTCAGCCCCGGAAATGACATCTAGACAAAATCCCTCAACTCCACTCTTAAGGCCAGAAGACTACTTCACCATTTCCCTGAAGTGTCAAATGAGGAGTTTTACATTTCACCTGGAAAGCCAAAATGAAGTTTTAATGGGCAAGGGTGTCAGAGACAAGACAAGCTATGACCTTCAGACACAAATTTGAGACTTGTTTCCTAGACAACTGTTCTGATCACGACTGAAATGGAAGAGGATCTTTGTACCAAAGCAAGTAAGAGTCCAAGCATCCAAGCATTTGACTTCATTTACCTCCTGTTGTTCTGTCTGGCTGGCTAAGTGCTCAGTGTTCAAAAGGTGCTTCTGCAAGGGTTCCTCAGGGATCCCGTTACAGATCAGCTCGCCATCTCTAATTGCTGCAGGCGCAAGTAACGGGGGTGGAAGCCGGTACTGGGACTTTATAGCATCAGGAACCTACATTGCAGAGAAAGAAGATCACACATGAGAACAATTACTCAAGAAAGACTAGTTAAACAAAGTGCCTAAGCAGCACTATGCTTCGTGTTTGCTTCTTCCTGACCCAAAGGACCCCTGCAGACAATACATTAGAAGTTTCAAGGACTGAGTACTTTAAATTGATGCAGCTACACTGAAATGAATAGGTTTTATTCCCTTAGGTCAGGCATGGCTTCAGAACAACATTGTGGCTACAGCAGAAAAAAAGTCATGCAAAAAAGGCCAAGGAAGAAAAACCTGTATAGCATTTTTCAGGCAGTCTGGCAGCAAACAGTATTCAGGGTTTAACACAGAACATGCAGCAGCGCTAATTTTGACTGTAAGGCCAACTTCAGGAGGTTTTGTTTTGTGCTTTCTATGCCTGTGCTAGTTTTAAAGGCTTATTTCTAACAGCTAAGCCTTATAGTTGGTGGAAAAAGAGCTTCTTAAAGATCCTACACGTGGTGCAAAGTAACTGCTGACTCCCAGAACTCGCACCAACACATCCTTTCAGACCCCACCCTCTTCCTGCTGCCCCAAGAGGTTATCCCTACAGGGCGTGCTGGTTTCCCTTCCAAAGTAGAATACATGAGGATTTTCAGCAACACCTCCTTGTTTACACGTACCTTCAAACCTTTCCTCTTTACTGATTGTAGAACTCTGCGATTCGGAGGGTGTTTCTTATGGATTCGGTTTAAGAAATCCACTTTGACAATGTGCTGGGATATGGTGTCCTGGAACCGGTCAAATACTCGGCACCGATTACTCAGGGTCAAGTTCTTCTGGTTCAGCTGGGTGATCAGACAATGCCACAGGAGTTAGGGATCTGTGGACCACTCTAATGTACCCTAAGACTTTCATAATACCTTGCAGCATTGGCAGTGCAGCATCAGCTCAGCTTTAGACTACTTGTGTTCCACAGCACTAACCATTTCTGATAAAGGGCACATGGCTGGAGATGAACACAAAAGCATTTAGAGGCCTTTACTAAGCAGCACCAATGCTCTCAGCAGCAGTTTGTCTGGGCAGAAGGCCTTTGTTTCAGCCCCCTGTTTCCTGAATATTTAGTTTCAAGTACACTGCTTTTCCACAAATGAAAACTCCCTCTTGGAATTAAAGTTTTTTGGGTTAAGCATGCAAAGAATTACTTCCCCTATTTGTAGCACTCTGCTGCTTTGTATCACAGTTCTGGAAGATCATCTAGATCTTAAGAAGTCCAGTCTGAAAACTACACAAGCTGTCAGTGAGCCACAATCTGAGCTGTCAGCTTCAGTTACAGGAAGGAGTTCCCCCATCTTTACATTTTATTGCAGCATCATATTCCTTTGGAGAGGACACTGCTTGCAGCAGGAGCTTGACAAGCGTTAACGGGGAGCTGTGAGAGCTCAGGAGCCGCTTCACATTTGTTGTACTTTGTCCTTTAATGGACCTGCCAGGTTCCACTCCAGCATCCGGTTCCCATACTGCAATCATAGCCCTGCTTACCACCACATGTTCTATGTGATTTGGGCACATCCATCTACCCAGAGGCATGGCAGTAAGCGGTGGCTCCAGACAATCCATGTGGAACAGGAGTGGGCAATAATCACACTGGATTAGAGGTGCCACTCTGCAACTCCTGCAGAGAGAGAGCCAGATCTTATTTCCCATGCTGAATACAGAGTAGAAAATGAACACGCAGGCAAGCTCAGCCTAACCACTTTAGCTAATCTTCCCAGACCAATTTCCCTA